CATTTGATGGACTAAGAGTTCTTAATTTGATGCTCCTAGAAAACTTTTTTGCTTTATAAAAATACTTTTTCTCATAATGGCATCTCTTAGGAAAAAGGGAAAATACTGTATTTATGACAGACACTTTAAAAAGTATAGATGATTAGAAATACACCAATGTTCATTGCAGCACTATTCACAATAGCAAAAAGATGGAGACAGTCCACGTTTCCCTCAGTGGAAGAATGGATAAACAAACTTTGGTACGTACACACAGTGGAATATTATGCTGCCTTGAAGAATAATAAACTGTAAGCCACCACATAACATGGATGAAACTTGAGGCAATTATGCTGAGTGAAATTAGTCAACAACGGTAGAGCACAGATTAGTGGGCAGACACATCATAGTTTGGGGGCTGGGGGGGGGCAATACAGAAAAATGGGGAGGGGGTGGAAGAACAAGGTAGATAGGGGAACACTGAAACAGGTTTGCATGGGCTAAATGGGACAGGGGCAAATAGTGATGCTTGCTGAACTTTGGAACAACAGCCCTCTGTGATACAGGAATCGAGGCATAGTTTGAAGAGGAGAAATAATACTAAAGTGTGTCACTGTCTTATGAATATTGGTTTCCCTTGCCAACTATTGTAAAATAGACACTTGAGTGGAACAGAAAGGAATGTCAGGAAGTGTGATTACAGAAAGCTTGTAAGCCCGTCTTCAGCCTATAACTGATTGGAATGCCTAAAAGGAGTTCTAGAACTTGCCCAGTGAAATGGGCCTCTTGTGGAGCCTTTGCAGTGTATAGGACCTTAGGTGGAATTGTGAGCCCCATCTAGAACCTTCTAAGGTGGGAAATTCCCAATAGAAAGGACAAGCAGACCAGCTTGGAACAGCTAGAGCAACAGAAGATATATCTTCAAAGAAAAATCAGCAGTAAAAACCCCAAACAAAAATGGCAGTATGATTGGTTACTCCAAGAATAAACAAGTTGTTCTCCGAGAAGCCATCAAGGCAAGCAATCAAGTCCCTCCGCGACTCCCCCCCCCCCCAATACTGAACCTCAAAGGGAACACATGAGCAGGCATGCAAGCTTGCTGGCGACCACATTGGTCTACTGGTGTGGAAGAGGGGGAAACACAGCAATGAAGAAATGGTGTGAGTTCAACCATGTTCCAGAGACTCCATTGACCTGGAGATGAGAGAGAGAAGAGGAAGGGCTGATTAGTCCAAAATGTGGTGAGGCCTGGAGACACCTGAGCCCATGGACAAGGACTAGTCACAGAGGGCTAGAGCTGAGAGTGAAGCATCCAGCTGATATGAAGGGAGGGGAAATGTACAAGAACACCCAAACTTGTAGACAGTACCCTTTGAAATAGCCTCAATGGCTTGATAATCAGAACTCAACTAGAGGAGGATAAAAAAGAACAATTTTTGATAAAGGAAATGAGTGTAAATTGCTACAATTTGATGAACTTGACCTATACTTATGGAGCTCAAAATACCAACATACTTTACATTAAGTATCAATGCTCTGTATACAGGGGAGATAGGGACGGGCAACTTAGACATTGGCTACCTAAAATGTCGGGGTGATAAAGGCACAGAGTGACTGGCTTATAAGATTTCAAGAGGAAGTTTAACAGTGTGTGGGGGAAGATAAAAGTCCCCACTGAATAGTTTTCATCTTGTCTAGATGGGTCTAGTTAAAAGAGATTGGGATAAGATTCTTCTGATTCAATAGTGAGTAATTGTTATCATGACTAATTGAAACTCACAGTTGTAAACGTAGAAGTTTTGTAACAAAAATGGGGGAGTAGTTAATCTTGCAGTCCAGAAACAAAGGACCCTAGCACCATCAAGGGAGAAGAGCACAAGTGGAATGCAGAACCTTATCTAGAGAATCAGCAACACCAGAGATGGAGGCAGAGATGGGGATATGGAGAGAAGGAGCAGCTGAGGACTGTAGATTAATGGGAAGAGAGGGACTAAGAGCCGGTGGCCAGGAGGCAGACTTTTAGAATGTGCCCTTTGGTGGTGTAAATTATTGATATGTCTGAGTGTTTTGTTTTTTTTTTTTTTTAAAAAGAGCTAAAATGTTTATAGAGAAATACTGTTATCTGATGGCACATGGAGAGATTTATATTCATGGTAATGGAACAAAGTATATGATTTGTTGAATGTAAAATGTAATACTGATGATCTGTCCTGTAAACTTTCACTCAATTCACAATAAAAAGTTACAAAAAAAAATGCATAGGAAATATAATATCTTTTCTAGATGAGAGTAGACAGTACTTTTTTACTTTAACTTTTTATTGAAGTGTAAGATACAGAAGAGTAAAACCGTAAGTGTTTGAATTTTCTTTCACAGTGAGCATATTCAGACTATGAAACAGTGCATTACAGCACTTCAGAACCTCCTTGTGCCCTCTCCCCGTTATTGTACCCCCTCAATCAAGATACCAGCAATTCTGATTTCTATCATCATAAAATTAATTTTGCTTGCTTTTGAACTTTGTATTAATGGAATATTACAGTATATCCTCTTTTGTGTCAGGCTTCATTCATGCACCATTATGTTTGTGAGCTTTATCCATTTTATGTGTGCTGTAGCTCACTTTCCTTGCTGTGTTCCATTTGTAATTATGTCATAGTTTACCTGTTCCACAGTTGATGAGTATTGGGGTAATTTCCAGTTTTTAGCTATTATAAATAGTGCTACTATGAATATTCTTATGCATGTCTTTTGATGAATCTATATTGCATTTCTGTTGGATATATATATAAATGGAATTTCAGAGTCATAGGACATACATACATTCAACTGTAGTAGATTATCAAAGAGTTTTCCAAAGCGGTTGTACCTGTTGACCTTCCCACAAATAGTGTATGAATGCCTTAGTTGCTCCATATTCTTGCCAATGGCTGATATTGTTAGCTACCACTTTTATATAATCAAAACATGCAGACATGTTTTCTTCATACTGTTGAATGAGATTCCATGTATTTTCTAGGGAAAGAGCGTTATCAGTGGTGGTTTGGATGCCTTAGAATTCATTGGGAAAAAGACAATGGATGTAATAGCAGAAGGAGATCCTGGATTTAGAAAAACCAAGGGACTGATGAACCGAAATTCTACGTTATCTCAGGTACTATTTGTCTTTACCAGTTTACTTCTTATTTCTATTTTGACTTGAATTTTTGTGTGTTCTAATTTAGGAGCTTGTTAGTATTTCATTTTGAAGAATTTTCAGTGAGTTTTTACTGAGAGGGATTTTTTGTTTTGTTTTGTTTTGACAGTGAGAATACTAATGCTCAGAAACATGTGCAGCTTTTTTTTTTTTCCCCTTCTTTCTGAGTGAGTGTATTGTCAGTGTAGTTCAAAATGCCAAATCCCGTCAGAGTTGCATATTTGATGTATGTTAAACCACTTGTGGAGCAATATCTGGTTTCCTGGGTGCTATTATGCTGTCTAGGATCAAATTGTGTATCATCATGTTTATCCTGCAGCTTCTGGGTCTGTCAAATTGAATCGCAGTGCCAGGAATGAAAGGGCAATGCTCTCCACTGTATCTCATCTCAGCTTTGCTTCTCTCGACTCAGAAAACCCACCCTTGAGCTCTTATTACTTGTTGCAGTGTAATGCCACCGTATCTTTCCAGGTGTTACGAGAGGTCAAAGAGAAAGAAGAGCTGGGGACCTCCAATGAGGTTACCATGGAAACAGACAAGAAAACTTATTATGGGCTACTCTTTGATGAATTTCAAGGCCTTTCTCATCTAGAAGCTCTGGAGATGCTTTCTGGAGAAAGTGAAATAAAGGTAATTCCAAGCCAAAAATCTCAACTGGAAAAGTCTTTTAAGTGAAAGGAATGCAGTATAGTTTCTTTTCTCTTCCAATATGACGACTTTAGTTTCTCTGGAAATACTCTACTGAAATAGAAAATAAACGAATATGTGAACTAATTGCTATGAAATTGTTGTTGTTGCTAAGTGCCGACGAGTCAGTTCCGACCCATCGCAACCCTGCATAGGGTTTTCGAGGAGCAGCTGGTGAACTTGAACCTCCGACCTTACAGTTTAAACAGCTTTGCAGTCTGGCACATTAACCCACAGTGCCACACCAGGACTCCGATTCCTAGAAACGTTGTTGTTAAGTGCCATCGAGTCACTTCTGACCCATAGAGACCCTGTATAGGGTTTCCTAGGAGTGGCTGGTGAGCTTGAACCGCTGACCTTGCAGTTCAGATGGTTTTGCAGTCTGACTCATTAACCCACAGCGCCACACCAGGACTCAGATTAAGTTAAATTTTATTTTTCTAAATTTAAATTAAAAAGGGAACATTAACAAAGTGGTCTTAATAGCACATCTGTTGCTTTTCCTTTGCTTTGGCCTTTTGTTCAGCTTCTTTGGCTTAAACTGCTAATTTGATGACAGGTACCTGTTGCCTTAAGCTGCCAATTTGAATAATGTGTCCTGTTAGCTTTTAGTTGGTTCACATCTATTTCATTTCTTTCTTACCAGCAGTGCCTGCATTATGAATGAGTTATGTTCTTAAATCTGTCTTTAAGTCAAATTTGTATGTTAGTCAGAACAGTTAGGTATGGTCATATCACATCAGTGAGTCAAATGTTTGTCTTTGTATATAAAGAACATTAAAGAAACACTCCCAGATATACTAAAGCATCTTTAACATGATGTTGTTGTTGTCAGGTGCCATCGAGTCGGAACCGACTCAGCGACCCCATGCACAGCACAACGAAACAATGCCCAATCCTGGGCCAACCTCACTACTGCTGCCACACTTGAGTCCATCAATGATGCCACCTGGCCAATCCATCTCGTTAGGGGTCTTCCTCTTTTTTCTGACCCTCCACCTTACCACAGCATGACATCCTTCTCCAGCGACTGTTTCCTCTGGACACTATGTCCAAAGTATGAGAGACAAAGCTTAGCCATCTTGGCCTCCAAGGAGCACTCTGGCTGCACTTCTTCCAAAACAGATCTATTGGTTTGGCAGTCCATGGCACTTTCAGTATTCTCCTCCAACACCACAACTCAAAGGCATCAATTGTTCTACGATCTTCCTTATTCACTGTCCAGCTTTCGCATCCATATGAGGCTATTGAAAACACAATGGCCTGGGTCAGGCGCACCTTAGTCCTCAAGCTGACATCTCTGCTCTTCAATACTTTAACATGATAATACAATAATAATAATGTTTTGATGTTTGTCACAATATCGTGCCCATTTGTTATTATGAACCATTTTATGTACCTTGAAATTTCTGTATAATAGACTTTATGGGGACTGGTTTGTAATTTTGGGTTTTGTGTAAGTCAGACATTCATAACCCAGGGACTGCCTGTATTTCTAAGCTGTTACTAAGTAATTTTGATACATTTCTGACTTGTATTAGAAATGCTAGTAGCATAGTAGGTGACGTGTTGGGATGTTAACCGAAAAATCAGCAGTTTGAATCCACTAGCCTCTCTGTAGGAAAAACATGAGCCTTTATGCTACAGTAAAGACTTACAGTCTTAGAAGCCCTATACAGGGTTGGTATGAGTCGGAACTGACTTGAGAGCACACCACCACCATCTGACTTGTATTGTTTTAGGAAGTACAAATTCTCCATAATTACCACTTTTCTGTAACAACCACACTTTTTTGTTAAGATTCTTTCAAAGAATCTTTGTGTTGACTGGTGAGCTCATAATCTTGATTTCAATTTGATCTACCATCTCTTTGAATGTTTTTCTTTTTCCTTCATACACCCACATGTTATATTATTATCTTATATCCAACCAGGTGAAATCTATTCTTAATTCTCTGAGTGGAGAAGAATTAGAGGCTCTAAAATTTGAATTAGAGCAACTCAAAGAAGCATTTTCACTAGCAGAGTTCTGTGAGGAGGAGGACGAAGAAGAGGAAAAAAAAGGTAAATGGAAATTCATCTTCTGAGTGGGAAGGATGCCTGTGTTTGCTTGCAGTATGTTGCCCTTGAAATAAATTATTTTCGCTTTAATAACGCTAGTCTGATTATACTTTTTTCATTGAGAATGTTCATAGGAAATTCTCTGTAACCACATCCCTGACTAAGCATTAATGTGGGCCATCATCCTTATACCTATGTCTTCCCACCCCTCGACTCTTTGAAACTTCTCCAAATCCAATCTTCTAACTAATATCTCTTGCCCACTTTTGCAGTTAGAGAGCTGCCCTTATGAGATTTCTGCTTCAGTTCTTTCACTTCTGACTGGTTATTCCTGTGAGCTTTTATACCTCTAGACTTTTTGTACCTCTCTGACTCCTGTGACCTCAGACCCTGTCTCCAGTCATTCAGGATGTTGTTGTTGTTGTTAGGTGCCATCAAGTCGGTACTGACCCATAGTGACCTTATGCATAACAGAACGAAACTGCCCGATCCTGGGCCAACCTCACTACTGTTGCCACCCTTGAGTCCATAGATGCTGCCACTTGGCCTGTCCATCTTGTTGGGGGTCTTCCTCTTTTTTCTGACCCTCCAGTTTACCAAACATGATCTTCTTCTCCAGTGACTGGGGTCCCTCCTGACAATATGTCCGAAGTATGAGAAGCGAAGTTTGGCCATCTTGGCCTCCAAGGAGAATTCTGGCTGCACTTCTTCCAAAACGGATCTTTTGGTTCTTTTGGCAGCCCATGGCACTTCCAGTATTCTCCTCCAACACCATAACTCAAAAGCATTAATTCTTCTACAGTCTTCCTTGTTCACTGTCCAGCTTTCACATGAATATGAGATTATTGAAAATACCATGGCTTGGGTCAGGTGCACGTTAGTCCTCAAGCTGACATCTTTTCTCTTCAACACTTTAAAAAGGTCTTGTGCAGCAGATTTGCCTAATGCAATACATCATTTCATTTCTTGACTGCTGCTTCTGTAAGTGTTGATAGTTGATCCAAAAAGAATGAAGTCCTTGACAACTTTAATCTTTTCTCCTTTGATAAGAATGTTGTTTATTGGCCCAGTGGTGAGGATTTTTGTTTATTTACATTGAGATGAAATCCATACTGAAAGCTGTGCTCTTTGATCTTCATCAATAAATGTTTTAAGTCCTCTTCACTTTCAGCAAGCAAGGTTGTATCATCTGTCTGCATATCACAGGTTGTTAATGAGTCTTCCCCCAATCCTGACACCACATTTTTCTTCATGGAACCCAGCTTCTCTTATTATTTGCTCAGCATACAGGTTGAGTAAGTATGGTGAAAGAATACAACCTTGTTGCACACCTTTCTTAATTTTAAACCATTCAGAGCCCCCATGTTCTGTTTAAAAACTGCTTCTTGGTCTAAGTACGGATTCTCCATGAGCACAATTAAGTGTTCCGGAATACTCATACTTCACAATGTTGTCCATAGCTTGTCATGATCCATACAATCAAAAGCCTTTGTGTAGTCAATAAAGCACAGGTAGACATCTTTCTGATATTCTCTGCTTTCAGCCAAGATCCATCGGACATCAGCAATGATATCCCTCATTCCACGGCCTCTTCTGAATCCAATTTGAACCTCTGGAAGTTCTCTGTCCATGTATGATTGTAGACGTTTCTATATTACCTTTAGCAAAACTTTACTTGCATGGGATATCAAAGATATTGTCCGATGATTTCCTCATTCCGTTGGGTCAACTCTCTTTGGAATGAGCACAAATACAGATCTCTTCCAATCAGTTGGCCAGATAGATGTCTTCCAAATTTCTTGGCAGAGATGAGTGAGTGCCTCCTGTGTCGCCTCACTTTCTTGAAAGATTTCCATTTTTATTCCATCAATTCCTGGTGCCTTGTTCTTTGCCAATCCTTCCATGCACCTTGGACTTCCTCCTTCAGTAATATTGGCTCTTGATCATATGCTACCTCTTGAAACGGTTGAACATCAACCATTTCCTTTTGGTACAGTGACTCTGTGTTTTCCTTCCATCTTCTCTTGATGCTTTCTGCATCATTCAATAATTGCCCAGAGAATCTTTCAATTATGAAAGTCCAGGCTTGAATATTTTCTTCAGTTCCCCCAGCTTGAGAAATGCTGAGCCTGAGCGTGTTCTTCCTTTGTGGTTTTCTGATTCCAGATCTTTGCACATTTTGTTGTAATAATTGGCTTTATCTATTTTGAAATTTTCTGTTCAGTTCTTGGACCTCCTTATTTCTTCCATTTGCTTTAGCATCTGTACACTGGAGAGCAAGTTTCAGTGTCTGTTCTGACATCCATTTTGGCCTTTTCCTACTTTCTTGTCTTCTCAATGACTCTTTGCTTTCTTCATGTATGATGTTCTTGGTTTCATTCCACAACTCTTCTGGTGTTTGGTCTTTAGTATTTAATGTGTCAAATCTGTTCTTCAGATGATCTCTACATTCAGGTGGGATATACTCAAGGTCATATCTTGGACTTGTTTTCATTTTCTTCAGCTTCAGTTTGAATTTGCATATGAGTAATTGATGGTCTGTTCCACAGTCTGCTCCTGGCCTTGTTTTCACTGATGATATAGATCTTTTCCATTGTCTCTTTTCGCAGATGTAGGCAGTTTGATTTCTATGTATTCCATCTGGTGAGGTCCATGTGTATAGTCTTCTGTTACGCTGTATAAAGAAGGTATTTTAAATGACCAAATCATTGGTTTTGCAGAATTCTATCATGTGATCTCCAGCATCATTTCTATTACCAAGGCCATATTTTCCAACTACTGATCCTTCCTCTTCGTTCCCAACCTTTGCATTCCAATCACCAGTAAGGATCAATATATCTTGATTGCATGTTTGATCGATTTCAGATTGAAGAAGTTGGTAGAATTCTTCTATTTCATCCTCACTGGCTTCAGTGGTTGGTGTGTAAATTTGAATAATAGTGGTATTAACTGGTCTTCCTTGTAGGCGCATTGATACTATCCTATCACAGACAGCGTTGTACCTCAAGACTGATCTGGATATGTTCTTTTTGATGATGAATGCAAAACCATTCCTCTTCAATTTTGTTTTAATGGCATAGTAAACCATGTGGTTATCAGATTCAAAGTGGCCAATGCCCGTCCATCCAAATTGTGGGTGATAGTTTTTTTGTTTTGTTTTGTTTTTTTCAAAGAGTTTTATTATTCCATTATGCTCTTAAATTTTTTAAAAATTTCTATATATGCTGGCACTATAGGGTAAAACTGGACTTCTAATTGCAAGGTTGGCAGTTCAAACCCACCAGTGGCTCATTTGTAGAAAGATTAGATTGTCTGCTCCTGTAAAACTTTCAGCCCAGGATACTCTGTGATCCCTATGAGCCCGAATCGGCTTAGAGATAGTAGATTTGGTTTTGATTTTATTCTTTAGAAAATGCAAATGTAGTAACACTCATTTTGAAGAATTATCAGGGAATGAAGTAATTTTAATAAAACATTTTCTCAATAACTGAATCTTAATCGCTAAGGGTTTTATTTAAAAGTTTTGTGTGGAAATATTTCTGAGATATGTTACACACTTGTTGTTATGTGCCGTGGAGTCGGTTCCGACTCATAGTGACCCTGTACAGGGTTTCTGAGGCTGTAAATCTTTACAGGAGCAGAACACCTCATCTTTCTCCTGTGGAACAGCTGGTAGTTTTGAACTTCTGTCCTTTTGGTTTGCAGCCTGATTCGTAACCACTATGCTACCAGAGCTCTAGCTGTCCTTTAAAAAAATAGAATCTGATTAATACAATTTTGAATTTTCTTGATGAAACACTCAATTATAAACATAAAAAGTAAATAGAAAAATTCCCTCAGGGTTTTTTAAGTTATATAGGACCAATCACTTATGTGGTAGATGAAATGAATGATTCTTAAAGTACAGTCTCTGTAGATCCCTGTTTGCAGTATAATATGTTTTTCAAGTGTGTTGACATTTGCACTGATGGTAGAAAAGGAAATGTTGGTAAAATTTCTGGTGTCTTAGCATGAACAAAGGTAAATGTCACTAAACTGTGGTACTAGCAGTCATTGTATTGTCATTGTTACCATATTTTCACTACCATGCCTTCATGGTTGAAAAAAAAGTGCCAGTTGACCAATGAGAAAATTTGAATTTCATGGAAAAGTTAGAATTTTATGAAATTCATATTTGCCACTGGCATGTGTTTGACAGCTTCCCAATGTTTATAGACTTTTCTGAAGAGATTGGTAGTGATAATAAAATAAATGTGATTTGGGAAGGGATATTTTATAATGAAGTGTGTCGGCATTTAGGAAGAGCTACATAATTTAGATCCAATATTTTCCAGATGGCCAATGAATGATAATTACAAAATCATGCATGAACAAAAGATCCCTTCAGAGTACAAGATATACTAATAGATTATAATTTAATCTAATTGAGTACTTTGCTCATGATATGGCATCAGACTCCACATTACAACTAACCTTTAAGAAATGATCACTTCTGAATTTTAGTGTAGTTGTAAGGAAGACTGTCACAATTATTTGAAAAGGCTATTAAAATACTCCTTCACTTTTCAACTATCTTCATGGGACTAAATTTTCTTCATATACTTATATAAAACAAGGTATCACTACAAATTGAGTGCAAAGGCAGGTAAGAGAATCCATCTTTCTTCTCTTAAGCCAGACATTAAAGAGATTTGCGTAAATGGAAAACAATAGCACTCTTCTCACTGTTTTTCAGTGTAGTTGTATAGTCTAATTATAAACATATTTTTATATGTAATATACAGTTCTAATATAAAGGTTACAGATAGTTATTTTTGTTAACAAAAACACTGTATGTCCTGGTTTTGATGCTTTAGCAGAAAGCAGCATTGGAAAAATCATTTATATGCATCTATTTGCTATTGTGGGATCCTGGTATGGTGTCATAGGGTAAGCACTTGACCTTGAGGTCAGTTTGAACCATAAGGCTGTTAGTTTAAACTCACAAGTTGCTCCTTGGAAAC